TGTGTAGAGAGGATATGTTACAGGTTGAGAATAATGGGTGAGGAGAAGGAAGTGGACAGCAAAGAAAATTGCTTTATTAAAATATTGGCTAGTGTGATGGTGACATTCTGAGGAACCTTGCTCTGCTTGTGTCAGTCATTGCTTCCTTGTTCACGTGATAATTGCGTACTCTTATAATCTTGTCCCGTTTTAGTAGTGTCTTGAGCAAAACGTGACTTGGAGTAGCGGCTGCTCTTCCTTCCTTCTTGTGACATCCCAGAAAAATAAATTCACTATTAGCTACTTAATTATATTGTAATTTCTTCTATTAAATTTATTTAAGACTTAAGTTCTCACTGGCTTGGCGAAGAGAAAAAGGTGTACCTTCTTTCCTTCGATCTCCTTTTAAAATTCAAAGTTATTCTCCAAGGGCATGCTTAGGTTGGTGCCCCTCAGAGGAGAAATTGTTCAAAGTTTCCATGTAATATCTGATGTATGCATTATGACTTTATCTGTAGTTGTACCGATTCTATCTGATAATGACTTAGAAAATGTTATGAGCTAATGAAAGTTCTGCAGAGCTGTAGTTGGGAGCATTTGTGGGCTGAAACCTTCCCATCCACTCTGTGTGCTAGTGCTAAAGCAAGAGCTGGCTAAGCTTCTGCAGTGACCTTCTGTATTATTTTAAACAGGTTGTGATGACAGCTCCTTTTAGTAGGAGAAACTAAAGCAACATTCTGCAGTGACAGAGTAGTTGATAGCATATGCATGTCATATGAGAGCTTGTTTCTTACCAAGAGTCTTCAAAGACACTTGATTTTAGTTTTTAAAATGTCTGTGATGTAGCATCTATTTTTGGAAGGCATTTTTAAAGTAATCTTAATTTCCAGATAACTTGCATAGAGCAGTTATAAGATCTTTGAATACTACAATACTACTGTTAATAGCACTCTTTTTTTTTTTTTTTAAAAAAAAAAAAAAAGGATTATGGATTCTCTAGCTTCCATGACAATTGGTTTGCTCTAAGAAAAAATACAAATTGGAAAGGTTATGAGTGACCTTACTGGGATCTAATAATAACAGAAGTTGTTCTGCTTTTAATTTTTGTGGGGTCAGAATTTCTGTCTGCTACTGTGTTGAGGGTCCTGATTATGCAGTTGGTGAGGAATTACTTAGCGTTAGGAAGATGTTCAGACATGTGTCTCTATTTTTCTTCTGAATTTGAAAGTTAGAATTCTGAAGTCTTCTGTGGTGGGAAACCTCTGTTTTCATAGAAACACTATATGCAAATGGCTCATTTGTTTTTGCCACAATTTACTATTCTGTAGATTTTTGTTGCATGTCTCGCTCTTAAAAGATTATCTACTTTTCTCAAGCCTCACTTGGGGAGAGGGGGGGAGAAGAGAGTTTATTTAATTTCTTTTTCACCCTGTAATCTCAGACTCATTTCTGTCACTAATAGTTTTTGCAGCCTCAGGCAACAGAGCAGTTTCTGTGCAGATTCAGTTTCCTCAAAACACTTGTTTAGTTTTAGGACTGGGTCTGAGAAAAATAATCAGGCTATTGCTGGATTTACTATGCAAAAAACTCCCAGTCACACCAGAGAATAGATCTGACAAAGCTGAAAAAATAATAATTAGTTTTAGCCTTTCCTTTTCTCGTAGAGATGAGTCTGGTCTATGTATGAATCCACAATAAATTTTAAAAGCACAAAAATTGGGCTTTTGTAATGGGAAGGCAGGGATTGTGGGCAGAATGGGGAGGGGGGCAAGCAGCAGAACTGCAGGTGTTGCTTATTGAGTACAGTTAATTTGAGTCATTAGAATTTTCCTTGTTTCTTCACTTTCTCCATTCTTTTAGAGCTTTCTGTTTGTGTTGTGGAGGAATCCCAAGAGGCAGACTGCTTTGTTTCTGTACTGCAGGACTGACCCACCCTTTTATGAAGGTGTTTTGGGGATTGATGCGTAAACTGCTGAGCCAGTTAGGCGAGGAGGTAAAGAATAAGTCTTGTGCATGGGGAGGGGGAAGTATACAGGGCTGAGTGACCCTAGCATGCTCTCTAAATTATATCTTTGGGGCGTAATAAAACACTAAAAACTTAACATAAAAGGTGAGTCAGCTGGCCTTCCTTTCTCACAGTCAATGCTGCATTCAGGGAAAGAAAAAAGAGTGCTAAAGAAGAGTAATCCAATTACAGGTGGAAGTAATCTATAATATTAAAAAGTAATGGTAATAACATATAGTGATAATCATGTGATGGGTGTTAAGGGAGAGGTTAATTAACTTGGCAAAACCAGAAAGAGCAGTAGTGTGACTTGACAATAATATTTGAAGGAAAAACTATAGGAATGAATAAATCTGGTAACTGTTTCCTGAAATTATTAACTGCTTGCCCTCCGGTGACCTCAGTGCTATTCTATAAAGGAAAACATTTTATTGACAAGCTTAAAAATAAAAAAAGAAGAGGGCTCAGTATGAGTTTTTGAATTTATTTTAGAAGAGAAACTACATGGCATGTTTTATTTTGGTAGTGGTTGTCATTTTCTTTTGTTTTTGTAGATATCTTGGGCCATTTCTATAAGTGACTGTCTCTCATCAGAATTTACATTTGAGGCACAGCAATTATGTCATTGCTCCATATCTTTACTCATATGATTCCTTTGTGTAATATCTGAGGTACATAAACTGGTACATATATCACCCAGAACTGTGGAGCAAGTTGCCTTTAAGGTGTGGTAAGTGGTGAGGTAAAGGAAGTCCAAGATGAAGATACTCTTACACCACTTCACTGGAGAAGATTACATGCACCTAGACTTGCTCCTGAAGTTGTTGGAGATTTTAGGCGTAATAGCTACTAAGAGATTGTGTTTAAGTTTTGTTGGATTTTAAATTAGGAAAAGTTAAATATCCACATGGCTTATGAGTATCTGGCCTTAAACTTTTTGTTAAGTGTTTTTAAATCTACACCAACATGTCAGAAGTTCTTGCTTTCAGTGTCCATTCTAGTACAATGTGGAGCAGCTGCTCCGTGCTTTGACTGAGGTAGCATAGGCAGCTTGCTTTTTATTTAACCTTGGCCTCTGTAGCAGCATACTTTGCCTCATTACATTCGCACTGTTGAATAAGAAGCTGCCTCTTTTTTTTTTTTTTTTTTTTTCTCTGCACAGCCTTATAAACCTCAATTATTTTATTTGGTGAATTCAGCTCAAATTTTTAGGGGACTGTACCTGCAACCTGACAAAGATGGGAACAAGTCCAGCATGTTTCAGGATGTGAACTTACTCCTTTTGTGACATTCATTTTTACAAGTGATGACTTGTTGTGCCACAGACTTCACCTCATTTTGTAGGTGAACAATCTATAGGTGTGATTCAGTGTTTTGAATCTCCGATGGCAGAGCTAATTTCCTTTTATTCTTCTCTACACCTTGATTCTGCTTGCTTCTGTTCAAAGAATACTGCAGAGAGAGCACATATGCATGTGTCTGAGAAGGCAAATAATTTCACAGGTCATGACTTTGCAAATGCATGAATCAGCCTTACACTGGAATAGGAGCCTCTGGTGGGAACAAGTTACAGTGAATAAGGAAAAGGCAAGAACTTCCTAAATGGCACCCGCCTCTTAAAAATTTGCTGTGTAGAACAGCACCAACCAGTTCAGGTGCTCAGCTTTTATATTCAGGAGCATATGTAGCCCACAAGGCTCAACCTGAGACTTGCTTGGTCTTAGACTCGGTGCTTGTATCCTCAGTTGGGAACTCAACCTGTGGCTTCAACATCTCATTGCAGTGCCATAGTTCCTAATACCCTAACACAGCAGAGACCTTTGTCTTTTCTGTTTTGCTGTTTTTTTTCTTTGCCTTATTCCCTGTACCCACCCACCCACCCCCACCTTGAGGCTTCAAATCTACGGTGCTCTGGTGATTCTTGCAATCCTTTCCTATAAACATGTCTGTTCCCTGTTTTCCTTCCCTCTGGTATCACTCTGTGAAATGACTTTAATTCAGTAAGGTACTATTGTTCTTGAAGTTATTGCTTTTCCTTATATTGATACAGGTTAAACTTTTTTCAGCCTTTAGTCATTTTAGTGATGTGGCTTACAGCCCAGTTTTGAAAAGTGTTTTGTTGCTGTAGTTGAGGAGAGACGGACTGTAGCAATGTTGTTACAGGGAGCGGTGGGGGAGCAGGGCAGGTCCTTTGCCACCTGGTTTCATTGCTGCCAAAAATGTTATGTAAATACATTGAGACTTTCCTCTGATTTCCGTGATGTAATGTTTCATAAATAAGCACTAAATTGTTTAAAACGCAGGTGTCAGGCATAGTGAGTTAAATACATTCAGAAACAATGTGACAAGTGTCATGAGTAATATGCTTTTCCAATGATCTTCATGCAGCATGCAGGAGCTAATCCTGAATTCTGGGGAAACTCACTGGAAACAATAGCTTTCTACAAGAGTATGAACAATAGTTATGTGTTTAACTGTGTTTGATTTAGTGGTTGGAAAAGTCTGGCACGAGCAATAGGAGGGTCAGTAAGTCCTAAATGAAGCTGTTTTACCAAGTCTGATGAAAAACAGTGATAATTTCAATATAAAAATGATATATCCATCCTACTATTCTAATTGAGTCATAAATCAAACAAGTCAAAAAAAAAAAAAAAAGGGAAGAATGCACATGCATCAGTCTGTGTCAGTTCAGCATACTTTCTCGTGTGTGGCCTGTATTTCTTTTCATGGACTCCATCCCTGCAAAGCCACTTTGTGGTCTCAGTCTTGATGTGGGTCAAAAGGGGAAGATTGTTAACATTCCTCCTGCCCCTCTCCATCACCTTCATCAGCTCTCAATGGGTATCAGTCTTTTGGGCTCGTGTGGGAGTGGTCAGTGGAATTTTGTGCCACTTGTAATCACTCCTCCAAATATTTCTCTCAATCTGTGTCTCATCTGGACAACAATCCAGCTACCATTTTTTTTTTGTTATTATTATTATGATTTGTGATTGATTTAGTAATTGGAATGCAACTATTGCTGGTATACTAGTATTTTCATATTTTATTAAGGTTCACATGCCCATCAGGAAATCTGTGATACAGCTAAAGAAACAACTTTTCTAAAAGAAAATAATAATTCTAGGTTGTGTTCTCTGTAATTGCCCTTTAAAAGTTGTCTTGTCCTTGGTTGGCAGCTTTAATACTTTGCTTATCTCTATGGCTCTTTCTCCTCACTTCAGTGATTCTGCTGTATTTGTTTTGATACTAGTATAGTTTCACCGTGACATCTTTGGTTTTACAGGATAGAAACAGCCACATTTTTGGGGCTAGATTTAAACTGCTTTCAAAGTGAAGTGCCCTTTGTTCTTCAAGAGAACTATACTGGATTGTTATAAGCAGTTTAGAATTGCTTGTTACAGTGATACAAGTAGCTAGCAACGTGACCCTGAAGAGATGAAGGACTTTTTATTTTATGTGGCATTTGCTCCAATGATCATAATTCTCATGAAATGCATGTCTCTTCTGCAGTCTCTTGTCTTTAATGTGTCCGTCTTGCTAAAGAACTTGTTAAAGAACATGGTGTTGTTGAACAATATTCCCTTGATCAAACTGGAACAAAAGAAAATACAATATTCAGTAGTGGTCTATAACTTGAAAAGTAAATGTACAAAGATCATTAACCTCATACAGAGCTCAAATATATTCCCTGTTGGGAGGGGTGGGGGGGAAATATACCAAATATTGTTAATTGAAAGGTTAGATATTGGGGGCAAAAAAGCTTAGAAACAGAACCTGTTTTATGTATCCACTATAGATAATCATTACTTAAGAGGAATATGTGTAAAAAAAGATACTAATAAGTAACAGCAAATTCCATAAAGCTTGTGCCTTTTGTTGTTAATATTTCTTTTATGCCCTGCTTTTACTACAGTTAACAAAACCAGTGTATTGTAGTGGAAGACTGAAACATGGTAATTTTATTTAGTCATCTGATGATATGTTTGACTAGACTGTGACATTTAAGCATCAAAAAGGAATACTATTCAGATTGTTCCATGGAAGGAGAAGTAATTGTGTTGGACACCTGTAATTTTGTCATCTGCTTATTTTTGTGTCAGTTCCACACACTGCAGATGATTTTGGCAGTTGAGCATGATAAACATGTTAAGCTTTCTGCATGAAGGATGCCAGTATCTGAAAAAACCTTCAGTGCTAGTGTAAATAAACCACTTGAATATGTTGTGGTTTATTATGTAAAACCTCTTTGTTCTTGTTTGTGACAGTTGTTGCTGATGTAAGTATAGCAAATCCAGCTGTACTAGTTACTCAGAAGTCCTTGCTAGAGTGTTTTGATGGTTAAAATTACATATAGTACTCTTCAATAGAATGCCAAACTTTAAGAACCTTGGAAAGCACTGATATAGGTCATGTATTTTTGAGTATAATGTATGAAGAAGTTTGAACTTCCTGGAAATATGTCCTCATGTTATAGTGAGTTTCATATAGTGAGTTCTGTTAAAATAACAATAGGGGAACAGCTAAGAAATAGTAATAAATTTTACTGCAACTGCCTCTAACTAAAGGATGAAAAGAAAATATTGTGTGACTACTGCTCTATGTCATGACTTCCATTGGCTGAAACAAAAAATGCAATCCTGTTATTTCTTAGCAATACTTTATAAAAAAGTTGCATGTTTGTATTTAATGGGATCACAGGCTTTAGTCGTTGTCATCTGTACTCATCACAGTCACTGACTATTTATGCCTTTCTCTACTCTTCATTCTGTGGCAGAGTCTGTACAGTTGAGGAAGTGGAATTGGCTTTGTCCCTTGTGTGCAGAGCTGCTGACTGGTTTGACTTCTCATAGGTGTTGAATGGCAGTGACTGTCACCAGACTTGGAAGAAATGCAACTCCTCTTAATAACAGACCTTGAGACTATATGATCCTATTGTTCAATACTAATTTAGGTGATAGAATGAACAGGGAAAGCAGTGATGGCAGTATTGAGGATTGACAGATTATTTATTATTATTAAAAAAAATAAATAAAAATCTGTGCCTATTTTTTGAGACTTGATTGGAGAAAAGATTGGGATGAAATGTAGAACAGCTTTTCAGAGCTGCTGAAATATCTAGAGAAATAAGTGATTGATATACACGTAACTTTTTATATTTAAAAACATATATATTTGAAGTTTGTTCAATAGCTGGGAAAGAAGAAATGTCAGAGACATGAAACAAAGGGAGCAAATAACCAGACAGTATATGTGGCCAGATTGCTAGGGCAGTAATGTTGGTAGGAGGTCTCGGCAGCCAAATTATTTCTACCATAATGATGTTGATGCCTGAAACTCTGACTCCAGCTGCTCACCTCTGTCCTGCTGGCTTGTATTTTTGGCAATCACCTTGTAGGAGTTTCAACCCAGAATATTGGGGTGTGTTAATGAAGGAAGGAGGGGGCCCATGGAGTGTGGCCTCTGAAAGTTGAGAGATAGAGCAGAAGGCAGGGTAGAAAATGAATTAAACTGAGTCTTTCCTGTCCATCAACAGTACCTTCAGCACTTAGCTGAATGGAAGCTCTCTGCTAGCAATTCTGCCAGGTCCTTCACGTTCAGTTGCTGGGTTTGGCAAAGTCTATCCTGTACAGATGCTGTCTTCCATGGTTTTATGGAAACTTTATTGTTCGTTTTTGCTGCTTGCGATGCAGGTGTTTATACCCTGTATAACTAAATGTGTTTGGCTGTGATTGCAATTAATCTGGTACAGAAATCTGGTCACTAAGAAATGAACCATGCCAAACAAAGCTTGGGCTCAAAAACCTACTGACATTGATAGAAAACTTGAAGCTGATTAGAAGTGCTGAAGTGGGTCTCTTTGTAACTGGCGTTATGGTAACCTTCTCTACTTCAACATCAGTTTTTTGTTCTCTTTCATAGTGAATTAGGTAGGTAATGATAAAACTTGCACTGCTTGATATTGTTCTCCTCTCTGTTTTTGAGTAGAAACACATTTAGAAAGTAATTCTGTTGGGTTCAAATGTCTATTCACACAAAGCCCATAAGAGAAAGGCCATCCTTGCATTTATTTTATTAGGAATCCCTTAACTTCTAGTGTAATGCAAGACTTGCGTTCTAGTGGAGTAAGCTGCAGTTTTACCTCCCCAAGCCCATTGAGTCTCCTTCCCCAAAAAAACTCCACCAGATAGTGAAAATGAATGTTTCCTTTCTCTTCTGAGTTCTTGACTCTTTTCTCCATTAGGGTTATAGGGAACTTTCGAATACTGCTGTGAGTGAACTCTGTGCTTTCTGGTACTTCTGTATGCTCTGAAGTCTTGGTGTGAGTACCAAACCAGAGAGGACCATCCACAGCATTGATATCATATTTTCGTAAAAGCCTACATTTTTTCCCTAAAGATCTGTAGTGGAAAAGCACTTTCTGCTCTTTGAGATTGGCAGTAATGCTGTCAAGCACCCATCTGAAATGTATTCTTCTTGTTTGTTTTTAACTACGACTACTTAACTCTTGGCACTTGTCAACAAAAATATCTATCTATGCATTTTTTATTTTTTTTTTTTTTTTTGGTATTTAGCATTGTGTTCTGTGTAACCAGGCAACCCAACATGAAGTGAGGATATAGAACTTAAAATAGAGAAGTGTGCACCACATGTCTTGGTGAGGTTAGTGTATGGGGCCAGGTGAGGAAAAGTGGAGGCTGAATTTTTAGTGCCAGTCTGGCTGTGAGCAGTGCCTCTGGGACAGCAGTTCCCCCAAAACCTGTGCCAATATGTAGGTGTCTTGCACTTCCTCTGATGGAAAGAATGTCTTTGCTGTTTTACCTGGATTTGTCAATATAGCTGTCCCCCCCTCGCCCCAGCAGCTCGCCAGCTGCTTTGTTTGTGATCCCTCCTGCTTACAAGGGTGGGTAGATGTTTGTCACTCTTGTCATCATGTTTCTTCTGCTCTGCTTTCCTGGCAGACACTTGTACCTACCACGTGGCTGATGACTCTGTGCAGTCAAAAAGCTTGTTGAATGCTGGTTGGGCTTTTGTCCATCTGAACTAGTGATCCCCTCAAAACACTAGTGATATTCTGATCACACTAAATATTTTGCAGAATGTGTTCTTTCCTATTTTTAGAAACACTTCCAGTTAATTATTGGTTTACTTAATACAGACATTGATACTTGTTATAGTTTGTCCTGCTGATAAACAGATCTTTGTATACTGATACATGGCAGCTTGGGAGGACAAACTAATTGGAATGTCTAATAATAAGCAAAAGCTTTTATTAAAGATGGGAAGGCCACTAGACTGCACACCTGCTAGTTATAAATAATGAATTTAATTTGAAAATTAATCAAGGGATTTGTTTAATTTTACTACCAGTTAAACCTGTTAAGAGCAAAGGAATTAGGTAGCAATACATTACTTATTTCTTTTTAATGTATAAGGATTTTTAAAATCTGTATTCAAACTCATAGGTTGTTATTCCTTATGAAAGATTGTACTTTATATTTAAATAACAATTACCATAAATAACAATAAGTTTTAAAACCAATTACTAAAGAAAACAATGTGCTGCACTATTTTTTCTCCTTCCCACATCCCCCCTCTCAGCTTAAGGAGAAAAAAGAACAACTGTATGAAAACTGATCTTGTTTGGACATTAGCAGTAAAACTCCATTTATCTGCTTTGGTTTCTTTGACATGGCTAACTTCTAACAAATGAGCTGTGTGCTCTTCAATTGAGACTCAGTGGTGTGTGTATTCTTGTTTCATAATCATGTTTAAATGATTAGCCAAGTAGAAAATTGCATGCTTAGTAGAAAAATAAATTGAAGAGGGTAACATTGTAATATCAATCTTCACTAAACTGTAGTAAAATGCTTTGAAATGGAAGAAACATGTATTTCATGACATACTTTAGTGCTAGGAGAAAGTTCTCTAATTTGCATTTGTATACAAATAGTTTTTCTCCTGTGCTTAATTAGGTGAACAAGTAAAAATAAATCTTGAAATTCAGAATGTATGTAATATTTGGGAATCTTTTAAATGTATAAACTCCAAATATCTTAGATTATTCTATCCCTTCTTATTGCTTAACCTCTCCCACCTCAACACTTACTAGCAAATATCAGATTTAAAGAAATGCTTTTGGTATGTTATGCATTTTCCTAGTTCCTTCAGGATTCTTTAAGATTTATCGTTTCAGGAGGAATTATAAACTATCTAGGACTGCACTGATTTTGGCAGATTTTCCACTGCTCTTAGGACATGATGAACATCAGTTATGTTCTAAACAAATGGCTTCAGGGTGCTTTAGGGCACAAATTACACCAGCCTAAGGACAATGATGTTTATGGTCACAAACAGCTCAGGAACATCCTCTAACATTCACTCTGTGATTACAGGGCAGTCTGCACTACTTGTCTCTCAGAACACTGGATGTTTAGGTTCATGTATTCTCATTTTTATGCCTCAGGAGGATTGTGAAGATTACTATTGTCAGTTCACGCCTTATTCTCAAGGCAATGTTCATTGCGCTGCTGGCCTAAGCTGGGAGTCATCTTGGATGGGGTCTGTGCATTGTAACACCCTGTGATTGGAGG